GGGGGAATAACATCAACAAGCGGCAAGCGGCGCGGACGACTGCAGCAGACCGAAATTAGGTTAGTATTTCTTCATCTTTTCATAGAGAAGAGATTCTGAAAGTGCATAAACACAATTTATCCTTAAAAAACTATCATTTATGTTTTTCAGGATATGAGTTTCTATTTAAATTCGCTTTCCTAACGCATTGTCAATGACGAAAGCTGGTATAGAACTTCATATTGAATCTCCAAATTATTGTTTGGAAGTCTCTACTGAACTTAACTTTGATTCAAGATGATCAAAACATCTCTGCATTTACTTCGTCGTTTCGGTGCCTTTCACTCTTATACTAATAGACATTTGAATTCATGTGGGAGTTTGATTCTTCCAAGAATTCGTAATAAAGCATCAGTTAATTTTCAAACTGTACGAGATTTCTGCAGTGACTGGGATTTGGATGTAGAAAGTGTACTCAAGGATAACAGCTATGAAGAATTTTCAGAAAGAATATTTAGATTATCCCAGCATGGTCACAATGTTTTGGTTATCCAACCTTTTATCAAACATCAGTCAAGCTGGGAAGAGGGCAAATTAAAGAATACTACTCCCGAATTGCAGTTAGAAGAGGCTGAGGCACTCATTGATACATTGTCTCAATGGAAAGTAAGTGATTCCATGCTGCTTGGAGTGCCTAGTTTTAACAGAACATATTTTTTTGGTTCAGGGCAAGTGGCAAGAATAAAAGAGATCTTGAACAAGAAGAAGAGTATTAGTGCTATATTTGTGAGCACTAACATATTAAGGGCAAGGCAGATAATAAACTTGGAACTAGAACTTAATGTTCCAGTGTTTGACCGGTATACTATTGTCATACAGATATTTAGACAACATGCCAATACTAAAGAAGCAAAACTTCAAGTTGCTATGGCAGAGCTTCCATATCTGAGGCAATGTGTGAAAGGTTTTCCTTTAGGTCTCTCTGACCGTCTTGCCTCAGGAAGTGTTATTGGTGGATTGGGAAGAGTGTTGCCCCAAAAAAGAAAAGACCTACTTAAGGACCGTGAACAAAAATTAAAGAAGGCTATAGCGTCATTAAGGAAGCATCGAGAGCGCTTGCGAAGCAGTCCTAAAATTGGCTCTTATCCAATTGTTGCTGTAATGGGTTATACTAATGCAGGGAAAACGTCACTTATCAAAGCTTTAACTGGTAAAGATTCTTTAAAACCAAGAAATCAGCTGTTTGCCACTTTGGATGTAACAAAACATGAAGGACTACTCCCTTGTAATTTGAGGGTACTTTATGTTGACACAGTAGGTTTTATAACCAACATACCTACAGACTTAATAGAGTCATTCACTGCAACACTAGAGGATGCTATTCATTCAGATGTCCTTATTCATATTTGGGATGTCAGCAACCCTGATTTTCTACAACAGCAACAGCATGTAATGGATACCCTTAAACGGTTGGAGTTTGGAGGAAATCTAGAAAAGAAGGTTTTTGTTGTTGCTAACAAGATTGACCGTATTGCCAAAGATAAATTATTAGAATTAAAAATGCAGATCCCTCAAAATAACACGTTTTTTGTATCTACCAAAACTGGAGAAGGAATGGGTGAAATGCTGGATAATTTGCAGAAAAAAATTATTGTGGCCACTGGCCGGACTCGCTTGAAGATTAGAGTGAAAACTGGTGGAAGTGAAGAAGAGTGGATCAGGAAAGAACTTCCTGTTGTGGGCATGGAGCTAGAAAATGATTCCGAACATACTGTTTTTTCTGTTATTGTTACTAAAGCTCAAATGGATATTTTTAAGCATAAATTCCTGAACTGAAAGTTTGTTTTCTTCTTTTTGTGTTGTCTCTGAACTTGTACTGTTTAAACAATTCAATTAAAAAATTGTCTGGATCAACATACATTTCTTTGCATTTTCAAACATTTATTTAGCATTACATTATTCACTTAAAATTAAAACAGAAGTTGTCTTTTTTCATGAAGGTACTTCTTGGTGAAAGCTTCAGCACATGTATGCATAACATTTGATTATAGTAAACTCTAAGCACATAAATTATAGGATCAACCTCTTCATTTGTGCAATCATCATCAGTTAGCACCATAAATTAAAGATAATCACAGATTTTCTTTCACTAATAATCATTTCTATCAAGTTTTAGTAAAGTAAAATGAGTGGAATTCTATGAAACTGAGAAAGCCCATGTTTCATTCTCTTCCTTATATACTGACAAATATTTAAATAATAACATTATGTCATTCAACAGTCAAACTATTCACTTATGCATTTTCTTGTAAGAATGAGCAGTCATTAAAATAACTACAGGAAAATAAACAACTGCCCAAAATGATTGCTGCACAAATCTGTGGTAAAGATTGTGAGTCATTTTATTGCCGAGAAGCAGCAGCAAGCAATGGAGATCCATCTTCAGGAAGTGGAGTGCGTTTGTACTCTGCTTTGGTAACAAGAAGCCCAACAAGTAATGCAAACACAACCATTACAACACCTATCATGTTAATAAGTACTGCTTCACCAGGCAATGCTCCGTAATTTGGTCTGAAAGATAAAATTCAAAAACAATATAAGATAAACTTTGTCATTTTCCTGACCTTAACATCACTTTACAGTTGGCAAAACATTACTTAAGAGAAAACCATGAATGAATAAACATGAAATAATACTTACATGGCAAAAAAAGCTTTCTCATTTAATCCAATCAAAGATGCTCCAACAGACAAAGCAAGTATTGCAATACCATTAAAGACATGATATGGAAGAATAAAAGATCTATACTCTGCACTTAGTCCAGGGAAGAGGAAAGCAGTGAGACCAACCACATACTGTAAAAATAAAGGCGGTAGTAATAATGTAACAATTATGTTATTTTTTTTAAAGGTGTACTCACAAAGAAATTAAATTGAAACATCAATGTTTACCTGGGAAAAGAACATGATTACAGCACCAAGTCCAATCCAACTGTGTAGGGAGTATAGATTTGGTGTAGGAGTGGGCTTGTGGAGATTGTGCGAATCAAACACAGCAACCAACCCAATCACAATCAATGGTAGAGTGAAGAGTTGAATTCCCCCATGGATGTATTTCAAAAGAACTTTGCGGTTGTTGCGCAGAACTCTGAATGTGAGGATTGCTGCAGCAGACATAGAAATGTCAAATTATTTTAGGTATAATTATGCTTCATGACCATTAGTATAGTTTGATGAAAATGTGTACTCACCATTGCCATTCAAAAATATTAATGCTATTACCATGAGAAGAGGGTGCCAGTTGAATTCTAGATCAGGGTTGCTTGTCCAGGCAAATCCTTTCTGTCCACACCAAACAGCTACAAGTGTAACAAGCACCAATCCCACTACTTCAGTAAGCACCAATAGGGGGCTGAAACCCTTCAACAGCTGTTGGGGAGTACCGCCTGCATCCATGTTGATGTATCCACCACCCTCCCCAGCTTTCTTGTCTGGAACAGATCAGAAGTAAAGGTCCAAATTAGGTGTGTTAGGTTCAAGCAAGAGTAGAAGAGAGCAAAAGAATACACATTGGTTGGAGCAATTTTTTCTTCACATTGTACATGAATTGTACTAAAGGGAGATTTTGACACTTATTACTTTATAAAAGTGGATGCAAATATTTTTTAATGTGTATGTCCTATTTCGGAAAATACTGGCAAGGTGTGCGACTTGACCAAATCCTGGGGTAAATGGTAAATCATGGGAAAGCAGGCACGCGTGTGTTTAATCGACCGCCTCCGCCTGATGGGCACGCCCGAGGGCACGCCACTTGTGGAGGAGAGCGCTGAAGTGTGACTCTTGGACATCCGCGTTTGTGGTTGCCTATCTGCCTGCCCGCAGACCACACACCTGCATTCGATACAGTATCACTGCAAAAAGTTTCCGGATCTCATGGGGTAGGGCAGAGCCACCGTGTTGACAAAAAGGGAGCGGGTTGCCTACTTTACCGAGTCTCATCAGACTGGCGACTTCCCCTAGCCTACCATAGCCTGGCCTAAGGGCAGCCACATCAGGCTGAAGACATCAGAACAGCGAGATGATTGTTTCGCCGAGGTTCCCGCGATCCACGGAGCAGCAGTACAACGGTCCTACTTAGTGGCTACCGCCTAGGGCCGCCCCGCCCAGATCCCCGGCGTAGCACCAGCTTGTTGCATTTCATTGCCTTCGCTCAAATCGCCCATCCCCTACCCTAGTTCAGATCTTACACATTAAATCTGTAGGAGGACGCCAAGAAAGAGACCAAAATGGGGACTGTCGGTGGGTCGGCCCGCCCAGCCGTGGACCATATGGTGGCCCTATGGTGCGGTTGGCATAGCGGTAGTGGCCTACGGCCGCCCTACGGCCGCCCTACGGTCGCCCCACGGCGCTGGCCCTGCTTGCAAACTCACCCCCGGTCAGCCCGTGAGCCATGAGCAGAGGTTCGAGCGGCCCGCTAGCGGGGCTCACGGCGGCGCACATGAGGGTCCTGCTCCAGCTGCACCGGCCGCACACACGAGCACCGCGAGAGGTGCAGAGGCTGGCTGCTGGCGACGCTCTATTAGACGCTGTGCGCCCCTCCCCCCCACCAGCAGGGCAAGGGTATTGATCCGCGCCGCCGCCCCCTCCCACCTGATGCGCCGCCGCCGCCCCCGGCCCCCATTCGCCCTCGCCCTCGCCCCCAACGCTCCCGGGGCAAGCGCCACAAGCACCCCCCGGGAGCCGCCCCCGCGGGGTACCGCGGGATCCGCGGGATCCGCGGGGTCCCAGGGGTATTGGGTGTCGCCGCCGTGCCGATTAGCCGTCGAGGTGGCCGCACGCGGCGGGCACGCGGCACCGAGACCATCTCGTCCTCCAGCGGCGCTCTGCCATGGCTCTGCGAGCTCCCATCCGTGTGTTGCGCAATCGCATTTGGAATGGGGAGGCGCAGCCGGGCCAAGAGACTACTGGCGGCCTCCGGTCCGTAGGGTCGCCGAGCGCAGCGTTATGCAAAAGGCCCGACCCGAGTGCAAGAGAGGCCGGTTCAGGCCTGGTTCAGACTACCACACAGTATTGCGGGACTGCAAAAGGGATTGTCCAGAAAGTAGATCCGTTTTTCTCAGATTCCGTCGTCAAATTTCGACAGCCTGACGCCAGCGCGATTAACGGTATGCCATCCCGCAGTACACGATATACCTCAGGCAGGGAGGGTGGCACCTGCCCGAGCTTCTCGCGCCACCGTGCGTTACGCACCAGAATTGGAAAAGTACCAGTATCTTTGTGAAAGACGGGTACTGTAATTTTTTTTCAAAGCAATTTACTTCAAATGTATTAAACTTCAGAAGAAGTCAAGTTGTACGTCTGTTTTTACTCAGATTCATTCGGCAAATAACGGAAGGTCGGCGCCTGCGAGACTCAGGGTAGGCCACCCCGCAGTACACGCTTGCACTGTAGGAAAGACGTTGCCTACTCATCAGGCGCTACGAGAGCTTGCATCGGCTGAACGTGGCAGACTCGTAACGGTGAATGACGGACGTACTTTCTGGATGACCCCTCACGGACGGATTAGGGCCAGCGAGTAGGCAACCGCACTCCAGCATGCGCGGGGTTAATCAGGCACCTGGTATTTTTTCCTAGAAGGAAACATTTTTAAGAGCGGCAAAAGTGCACCCTGCCTGACCGTCCAAAAAAAAAAACTCTAAATATCCAGATCACAGTCAGTCGGTGTGGAGCCGGAGCATGTTAGGTCGGGGAGTCTCACTCCCTCCGCCTGTTTCGTAACCACTATTAACTGACGAAGGTATGCAGCCTTGACTCCTCCCATTCTCCGCCACAAAACTAGTTTCCTGTCAGCCTCTGGTAGGAGCGTGAGGTGGGCCACCTGGTTGGGACGGGAGGAGGGCCGGCTACCCCGACTCAAAGTCCTGCGTACTGAGGATGAGCGATCTACCCAGACCCCGACAACCTCTCGGCTCACCGTGCCAGGGCGCGCGAGCAGGAACAGCCAAAATCACAATAAATGAGCAGGATAACTGGCTCTGCAAGGATATCATTGGCTTGTCGTTTTCTTTTGCAGGGCGGGGCGTCGCCGGGCCAGACGTGACACCCAGCGACTTATCAGTACAAACACGGCGGCCGGACACCGCGTTGCGCAACAAGGCACGGCCATCAAGGCACGGCAGCCGGGGCAGCCGAGGCTGGCAGCGCGCCCGGAGCCAGTGGGGCCAGCAGCCAGCAGCTCCGCCCCCGGGCCCCGGGCAACCCTCGGGTAGGCAGGCCGCTGCGCGCGTGAGCATCGCCGGGTGGACTACCCGCAGCGCCGAGGGAGGGTTGAGGGACTAGAGATAGTCTAGAGCCCTATTAAGCCTACATACAGGGCTCTGGTAGACTTTAGAGGAAAGCAAGACGCAAAGGGAGTAGGTCTTTCAAAACGGGGATTATATCTATTCACAGCGATAGATTGCGACCATACGGATGGTCACGCGAGACTCGGCGCGCGTTAATCTGATTATATTCTCCCGCCTCTCCCCGTTTCAAATTACCGCAAGTAAGCCGACTATCTCTGGTGTAGTAGTTTTTAAGGTCATGGAGCTGGACCGGGCGGGAAGAGCAGGGGCAGAGCGGTTCGGGCGCGGTTACGTAAAAGACGAGCTCCGCCTGCCGCCTCCTGACCTTAAACTTGAACGCGGCGGCACGCCACGGGGTCTGGCCTGGCGGGGGCCGGCCGGCGCAGCGAGCCTGTTTGTTTTGGCTCGGGGGCGCGCCGGCCGGCCCGACCGACTGCGACCGCGACCCGACGACTGTCCTGCCAAGTCAGC